ACACTGTTTGTATTTAATAATTAACTTCTTGCGTTGTATTATAATATGTATTATAATAGTTGACTGTTCGTATTATATTGTCATGTGTATTATAATGATTAATTACTTGTATTTAACATTGATCTTCCTGTATTGTATTGTAATATGTATTATAATAATTAATAACAATTAATTATGTATATAAGTATTAACAATAATTAATCACTATTCTAATCATTAATATAATTATTGATAATAATTAATCATTAATATAGTTATTAATAATAATTAATCACTAATATAGTTATTAACAATAATTAATCACTAATATAGTTATTAACAATAATTAATCACTAATATAGTGATTAATAATAATTAATCATTAATATAGTTATTAATAATAATTAATCACTAATATAGTTATTAACAATAATTAATCACTAATATAGTGATTAATAATAATTAATCATTAATATAGTTATTAATAATAATTAATCACTAATATAGTTATTAATAATAATTAATCACTAATATAATTATTAATAATAATTAACTTTGTGTATTGTATCATAATATCTATTACAATAATTAAATTCTTGTATTATATTATAATATCTATTATAATAATTAACTACTTTTTAATAATTTATTTCTTTTCAATACTGTAAGATAATTATGGAAAATACATAAATCGAAACATACAATCTTTTATTTATTTTACGCATTTATGACAAAAATGAATATTCGTAATGTGAAGTAGAAAGATTAAAAACACTTGATAATGTCAACACATTACTTTGGACCCACTAAATTCATTATGTAAAGAATGCAATTTTTAAGTTACTACTATTTCTTGCAACAGATGCGTACAATTTGTATTTTGCATGAAGATCCGCAAGCTAATAATTACCATTCTTTCACTTTATTCTCTTACAATGAAGCTACACTATGTTCTGAAAGTTTAACGAAGCATCGTACAAATGTCCAATTTTTTACAATAATACTGAGAAACGGGGCCTACGCCGCTGGCGAACCGAGAGGCTCGAATGTCTTCGTGCCGGTCTGAGAAGTTTCTAAGTGTCGGCGGGATTGGCCTTTTCGTTCACGTTATGCGGGCATCGTGCGGGATCAACAAAATTTGTCCGGCGGATCGTTAAACGCAGATAAAACGTCCGCGAAATACGTTACGACGGTAATTACGCCGGATAAGGGCCCGGGATCAATTTATCGGCGAAGTTAAACGGAAAAGGCGCAAAGTCGTCGGCGTTCGCGCGAGTTAGCCGGCCCGAGCCGAAAGCAGCCTCACGGTAATGAGTTACCGCGCCCATGGGACTTTCTTTATTCGCGTTTCGCTCGGCGACCGGCTCCGGACGCGCGTCCTCCCCGATCGCCGATCGCGCGAGCGTAGCACGCCCACGGATCCAGCCGAGGCTCGTCATTCGATACGATCTCTGGATCGCTGCGATCCACCGGATCATTGCGTAGGACTCGATTTAAACAGGGAGAACCTGTATTTCGGACCAGAAGAATCGATCTTCGCGGACCTTGAGACAATTTGTTTAATTGCTCAACGATCTCGCCGCGTCAAAAAATATTTTGAATCACTTCTTAGCGAAGTTTCGAGAAAATATATTCTTATTTAACAGACAGACCGTTGCACATTGTTTAAGTTCACGTGATGCGTGCAGTTAGGAATTCTCATTCGAAACTGGTGAAGTTCCTCGATTTTTTGCAGCTAGAATCTTGAACCAAAAGTTCGGAAAAAATTCGTGATTGTTAATGAGTCAGTGTCGCAGCACGTGAGATTTTTTTCAGAATTTTTATGTAGACGATTCTATGGTTTCTATTATTTAATTTTTCAACAATCTCTCGTGATAGGTGCAGTTGGGATTCTTTTTCGAAACTGGCAAAGCCTTGATTTTTTGTAATTAGAATCTTGAACCAAAAATTTGGAAAAAAATTCGTGATTGTTAATGAGTCAATGTCGTAGTGCGTGAGATTTTTTTCAGAATTTTTATGCAGGCGATTCTATAGTTTCTATTGTTTAATTTCTCAACAATCTTTCGAGATAGGTGCAGTTGGGATTCTTTTTCGAAACTGACGTAGCCTTGATTTTTTGCAACTAGAATCTTGAACCAAAAATTTGGAAAAAATTCGTGATTGTCAATGAATCAATGTCGCAGCGCGTGAGATTTTTTTCAGAATTTTTATGCAGACGATTCTATGTTTTCTATTGTTTAATTTTTCAACAATCTCTCGTGATAGGTGCATTGGGATTTTTTTTCGAAAATGGCGAAGTCTTGATTTTTTGCAACTAGAATCTTGAACCAAAAATTTGGAAAAAATTCGTGATTGTCAATGAGTCAATGTCGCAGCGCGTGAGATTTTTTTCAGAATTTTTATGCAGGCGTTTCTATAGAAAAAGAATTAAAATACAATCAAGTGAATATACATCCTTAAAAAATAAACGCAGTGCGATTGTATAGTGTTCGTTTCGATTGTTACGTGAGATCGTATTCTGTTTAATTGTAGAAGCGAAGTATTACTTTCAATGAAACCTTCGTTCAACAAACATTTGCTTCTGGCACCATGGAATGACAATTTGCTCCGTACTTTTGGCCCGCAGTGTACAACGAGCCTTCAATTCCCGCGACGGAGTCGATTATTGTCGGTATATTAACGAGCGGACAATTACCGCGGAGCTTCGGCACTAATGAAACCTTCCTACGAGTGGGAGAAGTTAACGCAACAAAGTTTGATCGTTAAACCCTTAATTGGGAAAGACGAGTTAATTTGTGTTCGGCTCTTTCACTGATTCTTTTCAGTTCCCTATCCGCTTAACCCAGACCGCAAACGTTCGCATACGATCCGTAGAAACATCCCATGAACGTTCGGCTCGTACACTCTCTATTTATTAAAAACGGCAAAACAGAAAAATGTCCAATTACCGCGGCCTTAGAAATTGAACACCTCCTTAATCCTTGAACTAATGTGGCTCCGCGAATCCAATCTCTGTGCGGCTTTAAACGAGTATCTACCCAGAGCATGCATGCCTATGCAACTATCTGAACAATGCAGTTATCATACATTGCTTTTACTTTATTTTATAAAATCCTACGTTCTGTGGTAAAGATCTGATAAAGAT